TCTTTGCTACATCAGCGAACACTGAACTACTGCTCGTACTCTAAATATGACAATTGACCACAAATTCCCTAAACCAGATAACATTAAACATAATCCAAAAAATCATGTAAGTCATCTGTCAATTCACGAGTTTGCTCACAGAGCACTTTGATCTTTTTACGTTGAACAGACGACAACTTCCGTAGTGGTAACCTCGTTTCTCCTCCAGACCAGAAATTGTAGGGTATGTGAAAGGCTTCTTTAATGGTTACGGACAGTCTGGCTATCATCAATCACTTTAAATTAATCATATGGCCTCGGGTCTGGAAAGTTGAATTTGAATTTGGATAATAGACAAAGGTGAAAAGATCTGTTGCTGTGCGCTGCTTACTAGTTTTTATTTTAAAAATTAAAAAAATTAATAAACAAAAATCTTAAAAAAATTAATTTTAAAAGATTGTTCAAAAAATTGGATAATAAAAAAGTTGACAAGATCTGTTGCAAAAGATCTGCTCACTAGTTTTAATTTAAAAATTTTTCTAAAAAATCAAAAATTAAAAAATAAGTTAAAAAAATTTGGAAAAATCGGACAATAAAAAAAGTTGACAAGATCTGATGCTGTGTGCTGCTCACTAGTTTTTATTTGAAAAATTTAAAAAATAAGGATAGTAAACAAAGTTGACAAGATATGATGCTATGTACTGTTCACTAGTTTTATATTTAAAAAATTGATTAAAAATATTGTGCGGAAATTTGAATTTTGAGCTGAAATATAGCGGCACCACCGTAGTAAAATAAGAAGTCAAGAAGGAAAAATGAAAAACAAAATCAATCGAGGTGAAAGTGGCTACATTCCTGCGATTTCGTTGGCTTTTATATCGGAACTGATCTGATTGATGCTACTAGACCACTGACTCTTTTGCAACTTACTGCTAATTAGAGTGAAGAGCTTACACTTGGCCTACAATCTCAAACATTTTACTTGGAGTTTGGCTATCTCCCCTCCCTCTCTTTGTCAGTCTGCTAGGTCGCATGGACACACCGGCAAAAATTGCAAGAGCACCATATTATTTCCTTCTCTAGTTATGTTTGTATGGTGTAGCAGGTTAATGTGTTTTTGAAGGCCCTTGTTCTTAAAATCGAGAAAGATTTTGGCCATTTTTTGCGGTTTGTCAAGGTGAGAAATGCCTTTCGCGGCAAAAGCGTTTTCAGAGGATTCTTGGTTTCTGTGTAACTACTTGCTAAAGCAAACTAGACAGTGAAGATTTGAAGTGTTTTATTTAGATGTAGATAATCAGACAACAAGAGAATCCTGACACATTTACTTTTGTAAGTTTAAGTGATCCATAATCATGTTATTTTAACTGAGCTCTCCACTAAGTCAAATAATCGTGAAAAACCACAAGAAATCAGATAAAACAATATCCCGGTGAGATCATTCCAATGGTTTAATTGGGAATCAAGTCATCAATTGATTCACCTTTCTCCAATCTCTTCTCCATTTCAATCAACAACTGGACTCCGTCAATCACGGCTTGAACTTGCTCAACCTCCGACTTTCCCAGCCTATCAGCATTGGAAATGTCAAAAGTTCCTCCCACTGAAGCGGTGTCTACACCTCCCGTGCCACGTTTCTGTAGACGAAATTTCTTCAGGATGCTATTCAGTCTCTCTTCGTCTTTACTTAACTCAGGGATTTTGAGATGTACGCCTCCTCGGAGCCCTGTGCCGAGGTTTGAGGGACAAGTCAGGATAAAGCCGAGATGCTCACTCCACATGAAACTGTGACCAGCTCCTTTGATCAGTTGTTCGACCTAATGAAATAAACAACGACAACAAACAGAAATTAGTGGAAGAAGTTTTATGAATGGATGAGCAACAGAAGCCAAGCCAAAAGTTCCTGGAGCATCTTCGAAAAACGCAGACAGGAGAAGCATAATTTGTGACCTAGTGTTTTAGGAAAAGTGTAGTGATCTTTTAACTGCGTAAGTCCCTCTCTCTGACTTCATCCCAAATAAGCTTATTGCGAAGGAGTGATTAAAATCAATATTTTTGTGGAAAAAGAGCCGAGACGAACGGTATTGAGCTACTTTCCTTAGGGGTGTCTTGAGACTTTTGGCAATGATGATAGATATGCTGAACAAGCTTCATGGCACCAGCCGCGAGTGAGAATGTGGACAAAATTTTGATATTGTATGGATAACGAAGTTAAATGTTGAGAAATCTCATTTCCATGTTATCAGGCCAATTTGTAAATTCATTTAGCCGTAACATGAGCCTTTATAAATTTTCAAGCTAGGCCACTCGTTTTCTTTGTAATATTCGTTACTTTCCGACCATTTGTGGGGAGTGGCTTTGTTTTGAAGCTAATTAAGGTACAGGAACAACCCTAAGGACAAAGCATGAACTCACAAACGAAGCTCAGCAATGATATATCACACTTGTGCCCGGTCTGCGAATACTTCGATATCAAAAACATGCAACATAGTGTAAACCAGAAAAGATTAAGATAGGAGACTCCACTCGTCAAATGGCCTTGTGTCGAAGGAAATCTCTCTCAAGTTAATTTTCAACTCTGGGTATTTGTTCATTGGGTCTATAGTTACATCTAGAACGCTTTTTGTCAGGATGTTTCCTTCCTATGCTCTGTCGGGGAAAACAGAATTGCCTGATTTTAACCTTCTGGGCCCAGTTGCAAAAAGGGCGGATAACGCTACCCAAAGGAGAAATCGCTATCCAGCGGATAAATGATAGAGAAACGTATAGCGCTATCCACCAGATAGAGATTTATCCAGTGGATAGCGTTATCTACCCTTTGAACGACTGGGGCCTGGTTTTAACTCCAGGGGTCTCTCAGAAATATCTATGAAGAGGGAAGGCGGTGGTGGGGAAGAGGGTAATTCAACATCGCCTAATTCAATCTCTTGAATAAACCTGGTTTTGGAATTTTTAAATGTGTATCATGATTCCTTTAACTTGATTCACGACTGGGATAACAAGTCGGTCAAATTACCTTATTCAGTCCAGTACAGAAGCGTTCAAACACAGCGGCCATATCTCCTCCCTTCTGCATGGAAATCACCCGAGTGTGATCCTCTTCATTGATCCAAACCAAAAAGTTCTTCTTTTCATTGTGCCAGATACCGCGAGCATCGGGCCAGTCACGTGCCATTCCAGCACACGTCAGAAGAGGAGACACTGGTTTGTCGAACAAGAAGTGGTCCTCGATCAGTTGTTCCTGTTCAGCCTCTGTCATTTTGTTGAGTGGATAGTATCTGGAAAAGGGATTAAAAATTTTAATTCAAAAGAAACAGTCAAAAGAAGGTAGACAAAGCCGAAGCGATTAATTGACATCCATAGTAATTTTCATAGTGTTTTTCGCTCATGCAGTATCAAGGGTGTAGACGGGGGGAATGGGATGGAAGCTAAGTGGATTGAGGGAGGGGAGTCCTATGCTGCAAGTGCCTCCTTCCTTTACAAAAATAATGATATTTTAAAATTTCATCCAACAACCTGATTCAACTGCGAATGCTAGTTAAACGTAACAATAGTACGCCCCATCGCCTTCTCTTTACAGACGCACTAAAGACTCCTACCAGCCTTCCTGAGTACTGCACAAGAATTTTTACCGGTAAATCGCTTTTTA